CGGTGGGAGGGGAGAAGCGCAGCGGCACGCTGGGGAACCTGGCCGAGGAGCTCAACAGCTACAACAGGAAAAAAGGGGGCTTCACCTTCCGCTTCGGGAGATAAGGGCTTGGACTCGACCCCTCACCTCCTGCGGGTCGCCCTACCCCGTGCTTCCCTTCCATCTCACTTAGGTTTGCTCGGACAAAAGGGTATTGGGGGGTTTTGCTGCTCTGATTGCCTTGAGGAGGGGAGACATTGCGTTTGCTTTACTCGCAGCCCTGCCACAGATCTCACATCCCTGTTCCCAGCCAGTGCAATAGAAAAAGAGGAGGGTGGCTTAAAAAGAAGCCACCGTGTCCCTTCCCCAGTCACACGCGGCCTTTGCTGGGGCACGGCGCAAGTGCCCTGCGCCAAGTCTCCAGCATTGCGGTGCAGGCAGAGCGCGGGGATGCCACCCCGGGCCAGGCAGAGCTGGCAAGGCCAGGCATTGCGGCTGGAGGTGCGTGGGCTGAAGGGTTACAGTGGGATAGTCCTGGTGGTGACAGTCCCCTGGGGACTGCCTGTAGCTGCCGTCCAGGGCAGGGCTGTCAGGGAGGAGCAGGTCACTCAGAGCTCTCTGCAGAGTCACAGAGTTACTGCTCTCCTGCCTATTAAGGAAAAGTCCCTCCGGCAGCAAATTCTGCTTAGTGTCAAGATGCCACTTCCAAGAGCTGCCTCCTGCGTGCAAACCAGGACAGAGCAGCAGGGTTCGAGAAAATCTCGTCCTTAGAAATCCCTGGCATGAGCACGGAAACCTGCCCTGGCATCACCAGTCCTGCTGCAGTCCCACCACCCTGCTCATGCCCCGACCCCGAGACCCATCCTCAGGTGCCACCAGAGTCCTTGCGAGGGTGAGATGGTGATGGCCGACCTTCAGCGTCCTTGTCACATCACCCCAGCACTTGCCTGAAAGCCTGGCCTCATCGCCACCTATTCCCAGCTGTAGCCGCTGCAGAAACTTGGGTGCAGAGGGGCTGAAACAAGGACCCCCACACCTACCCGGGGCCACCAATGGGTGCTTGGTGTCCTCCTGCTCTCCAGTCCCCTCTGCTGTCAGCGGTGCAGCTTAGGGTATTGCTAGCCCCAAAAGCCAGCATGGCCATGGCTGCGCAGGACAAGCCCCACTTCTCCTCCTTTGGGCAGATTTAGCTCTGCCAATGCCAATGACGACACTTCCTTTTGCGCCTGCCACTGCAGGCAGAGATATTAGTAATCAGAGGTCTAACTACCTGACTTGCAGGCACTAAGGGCAAGTTAGACACCTAACGACTGCTAATATTTCATTGCAGGCACAAAAATGAAGCAGGGCAATTATTTGCAAGTGCTAAATTGCACCCTCAAAATCAAAGACCATGGCAGGACTTGGTCGGGGCGGGAGGGGGGAGGGAAATCAGGCTCCAAGAGGTGCATTGTAATATCCATCAAGCAGACAGACCACTTAATACAGTGCTGCCGGGACCGGCGCGAGCTGTTCTCGCAGCAGGAGCAGTGTGTAAGCGAAGGTTGAATGGAGGCGAGCTGGGACCGGCAGGCAAACACCAGCTGTGGGGCAGCCAGGTCTAGGGAGGAGCAATGGAGGCACAAGAGCAGGCTCCTCCAGGGAGCTACGCGTGGGTCACAGCCCCACGGGTGCAGAACGGGAGGGACTCCAGAGTTGCAGGGATACAGATGATGCCAGGATTTGGCCCTCGCACGAGGACGGCGCCGGCTATGAGGGCGAAGGAGAGGAAGGGCATTTTCCTTCCCCTGCACCTCTGCTGCGGTAACCATCTCGCAACGCGGGGACCACAGCAGCGACCAACAAAGCCGGTGGCACTCGGGGTGGCTGAGCCCACGCAGCCCCCCCACCGTGGGCACGCCCAAACCCACCTCTGATCCCTCTCGTCTCCCACCCCACCAAAGGCCGCCGGTTCGGGGGACACAGGCACAACGCTCGCTCGCATCATGCAGCAGAGACGGGAGCTTTATCGATGTTTCCATGGCAACGTCTCTTCCCTCCCCCCCCCCCCCTTTTTTTTGGGGTTCAAACCATCAATAAATACGTACTGATCAATTTTACCCTGCGCTGGAGTGGGGAGGAGGGGTGGGAAGGAGGAAGGGAAAAGAGTTTTGGAGCAACGCTGAGTTAGTGAGGGCCTGTAAATCCCTGGCTTTGCCGTGATGGATCGCTGAAGGGAAAAGTGGCACAGTCTGCTGCAGGAAGGGTAAGGAAACCTGCTGAGTGGGGCCAGGGGGGGATGCCTGGGCTCCTGCTCTCAGGTCCAGGAGAGGAGGAGGGTCAGAGCAGCATGATAAAACCCCGTGTATAATGAGGCTTTGATTGAAGCGCAATAACCCTCTGAATAACTTATTTAAAAGTAAAAGCCAGCGCTTCCCACAGCGCTTACCTGGCGGGTGGGACAGAGCTGGGCTCAGCCTGTGTGCCCCGGGGGCTCCTTGATGGGCAACTCCGTGCCGTGGGGGTGATGCCATCACCCTCCTCGCCCGCAAGGAGGAAAGGGGCTCCCGGCAGGCTGCGATGTGGGACAGGCGAGGGGCTGCGGCACCCTGCAGCACCCCTTGGCATGCGTTAGGATGGCTGATGCGCTTGGGAAAAGGCAGCGCTCCAGGCTCTTCGTTATTGCTCCTTGGCGATTGAGGCTGGGGGGGAGGAGGAGGTAAAAGTGAATGGAAAATAACTGCCTGGGGTCTGGGGTGTTGTCTGGGAGGAAGGAGGGGGGAAACACACCAGGAGCAACCCCCAGGAGGCTGGAAAGCCCATCCCTGCACGCTGGACATGGTGTCTCCCGCCCAGCTCCCATGGGAACCTACACTCCCTTCCAATTCCTCCCCACTCCCTTTGTGGGGCAGCTCCCAGGGGGACACCCAGACCCCCAACACCTTTGAGAGCCAGAGAGCTCGGAACCCACCCACACACCGAGCTGCAAGGAGCCGGATTCATTGCAGCATGGCCATGCAGGGGCAGAGCGGAGTGTAGATAAGGCAGGCCAACTTGCCTGGAGCACCGGCACCACCGCCTGCCGTGCAAGCCAGCCCGCAAAGGGACGGCATGAAATAGGCATTGGGTTCTTCTACACACGGCCAGCGGACCCAGCCAGCAAGGACCGATGCAGACACTTGCTGCCAACATCACCACTGCTGGGACCCTCTATAAAACGTCCCGTTATCCTTCCCTGACCAGGGTACAACCCCTGTCCTTGCCCCGGCCCCATCTCTGCTCATCTGCTCCATTCCCGTAGGCTGCTCCTCATCTTTCCTCCGTCCCGAGCAGACCTGCAGCACTGCAAACACGCACACCGGGAGCAGCATATCTCAGAAACCCAGGTGGATCCTCTGTAGAGAAAGAGCCCCATTTAATTGCATCCAGGGGACTCGTGAAGGGGCTAATGCATCATAACTGGGTCATTCAGCACCGTGGCTTCAGGAGCACAGGTAGGATCTATATCAGCAGACTGGATGTTAGGACAAACACATAACCTTCAACAGGGGGGCGATTGCTGGGAAAACAGTTCAGCGTAGCCTGGTTTGCAGGTAAACTTTCTGCTGAGCTGGATCTACCATTGAAAAACCACCGAGCAGCACTCCACTCCCAGGGAGGACAGTTTTGAGCCTAGCCTAAACAGCCAAATGACTTGCAGGGCTGTCCCTAACCCACAGCTTTAGGGGCACCAACGGCACTGCCACGGCATGAGGACTGACCGGAGAAGCAGGTTGATCCAGGAGCATCGTTCCCAGCAACCCACCCAGGCCGGGGCTCAACCTCGCACCAGGAGCCCACCCCGCTCTGCTGCCAGCCCGCTTTTGGACGCATGCGTGATGCCAAGAACCCTCTCTTCAGAGGTGACACGGTGCTCAAGTATATTTTCCTCTCTTTTCAATCGTGAAAGGATTAATGTCCAACAAGGAAGAGGCTGTCGGTTGGCCCCTGATCATCCCCAGGGGGCAGGCAGCGCTCCTGCACACCTGAGAGTGCCGCTGGTCCAGCAGCATCTCTACAAGACAGGCTGCCACACCAACCTATCTTTAGGTTTTTGGGGTTTTTTTGAGAAAAGGAGTGATTTTTAAAACACTGACCACATTTTACATCTTGTGACAAGCAACTTCTCAACAAAAGGCAGGGTGACATTAAAGGAAAACTTAAGAGTGAACATTGTAATTTCAAAGACATGAAAACCAAAACAAAAACACAAACACAGCTATTTTTCCCCCAGAGCACTCTCACTTTCAAGCTCAATAGCCTTGAAAATTGGAGCAATCAAACTGTTAAATGCATCGATCTGTTAAATCAACTCCTACTGTACTCAGCTAAATTTAGCCTTTAATCCCCTCTCTTTCACTCCCAACGCTGCAGGTCCCGGGGCTTTCCCCAGCCAGGTCAACCGGTCTCTGCCTTCCCACACCACCATGGACTGGTCCCTAAGCAAGCAGAGATAGAGATCACTGGGAGTGATTGGTTTTAGGGGCAGGTTAAGCTTCTCCATCTTCCCTCAGCCCGTAACTGTTCACCGTATTCAAGTCTTTATGCTAGAGATGTGTACGAAGAGCAGCCTGGACATCGATCCTGTGTCATTGCCAGGGTCATCGTCACAAAACAACCAGGAACCCCTTGTAGCTCTGCGTGTACATTCACCGGGCACCACCACTTTGCTAAAAAGTAGCCTGAGCTTTGCCAAGCACAGGCTATTAATTGCATTTATACTTGCCAACAGCATCCCCCTGCTCCTCTCTTCATCTTCTTCAGGCTCATTTAGAAGCGGCCCAATGCAATCGCTGTCACAGCAAGACAAGGTTTCCGATGAGCCTCGCTCCCATGGCCCATGAGCGAGCGGTTCCCTGCGCCAGGAGCAACAGATTTCACCAGGGACTTGTTGAGGGGATTAGAAATCGGGCGAGCTGGGTTATAACCCTGAAACACCACTGAGCAACCGCGGGACCTTGGGCACACCACTCACTCTCATCTGCCCTTGTTTCCTTCAGTCTTTAGCAGCTTCATTAATCAAGGCAATATCTCATTTTAGAGGCTGCTTAGTACCTGGATACGTCCCTCCCTCAAGATTTGCTGGAAAGGCTGAAGGTAGTCTGAA